GTGTGTGTGTGTGTGTGTGTGTGTGTGTGTGTGTGTGTGTATATATATATTGTATATTATATATATATATATATATATATATTGTTATATATATTGTTATTATTGTATATATTTTTACTATATGTATATGTATTATTATTATTATTATTATTATTATTATTATTATTATTATTATTATTGTTATAATAATTAGTATCATTATTCATATTGTATATAGATCCCTTCTTCAGTACAATCAGGACAGATGCTTGTACCTTCCGGAACTGAATAGCCCGCTGTGGTATGAGTTCCTATGCCATGTGTGGTGACTAATGGAACCATGACAACGGCCAACATACAACTGACGGGTAGTCCCAAGCCATGAATTGAAATGAAATGCCGAATTGTTACCAGAGTATTGTCAAGGTATGAACTACACATGATTTAACCGTATACGACATAAACTGATAGATACTGTGCAGGTGGTGCCTTGTGATTGCCGATTTTGAAAGAGATATGAATTGATATTGAATGAAGAACGGGCTGTAGCAGAGTATCGTCAGAGTATGAGCTACACACAACCTAGCCAACTACGACAGACACCAGACATATATTGTCCGAGTAGGACTTACAATTGCCGGCAGAGCCAGCAAAGCCAGTTGATGGTACTTGTACTCTGGAATGCCTGTAGAAAGTTGTGTGGATTATGCGGATAAGATAACATCTAGGTATTTAGGTATACTACTGTATCGCATAAATATGTACACATGCATCGTATAAATTGGTGCATTTCATATACTCTGGAATTCGACAAAAGCTATGTAGATGAGATACAATGAATACATCTATGTGTACCACTACGTTATACAAAACATGTATGATAACTGTTTTCTGGAATACTTGTGGAGAATTGTACAGGTTGTGTGAGTAAGATTATATGTTTATACCACAAATTTACTCCTAAATAGATGTGTACCCTCAATTGTTTCAAACAGACTGACGTGAATATATATACCAGAACAATCGTATTCACGCTGGCAGTAATATGCAAGACCAGCCCCCAACTCCTCAGATAAGAACTGATTCAGGCATGAAATCCTTGCTAGCCATTTATTTATTTCCGCAGCAATACGATTGCGAATAGCTGCGACCAAAATCGATTCATATATAAGCACACTTCTAAAACAGAACGAAAGAACCAGAACAGCTATCAGATACAACCGCGTACTGGATGTGCATGTATATGCATACTTGTCGCATACACACCTCTGACCGACATGCTGTGAAGCTATTTATATGGTATCTCTGCAGAAGACGTCTGCTATTATCGCTGGCGATCTTCTCACATAAAAGTGATACGTTGTTCGGCTATGGATACGTCCATATAAAGTAATCACAGGGGTTTTTGTTTGAAACACAAAAAGGCGCAGGGTTCAGTTTAGGGTTTAGGGTTTAGGGTTTGGGGTTTGGGGTTTAGGGTTTAGGGTCTCTTCGATCAGGGTTTTACCTATAATATATTTGCTATGTAGTACATACATATGTACTGTGTCTTAGGCACTTGTACTACGTACTAGAAAATAAGACATTCAATAATGTATAGCATAGTCTTCCAAAGAAGACAAGTGACACTTGCAGCAGTGTCTTAGTAGGCCTTTTGGACTGCCATAGACTTTGCCTTGCTCATACAATCTAGTACGGATTAAAAATAATAGACGTCGGTCGCGATAGAACTTTGAAGCGTGAATAAGTGCTAGTGCACGTTTTTATCGGTTCCTTTGAACTACGGTAAAATTGATTACCTCCGGACAGAAGCACAGACCGCAAAATTGTTCGCTTGAGCCAGATATTGATGATTTGTGAAAAGAATCAGACAGTTCAATATAAACCCCAAAGTGTAGACCAGACCGACTCACACGTACACGTATGGCTAGATTTGACTATCAAGCAACATGAGTAGTGCAATCATGTCCAAGATAATATTAAGTATTGCCAACTTATACTTCACTCTATGTCTAGCCTTGCCATTTAATAAAGATGCGAAAATCGACATTATTCGCGCTGGACCTGCGGGCATTCACATGGCCTCTTGCCTTGATACTGCCGGGTACGACCACATTACCATGTACGAGAAAACTTCCAGGATTGGGGGGAAAGCATACTCCTTTCTAGATCCCGATGACCCTGAGGTGTTCCACGAGATGGGTACCTGCTACACACATACAGCGTATGATGCTGTTTTTGACCTCCTCCGGACGTATGTGAACGAGAACTTGGACGAGAAACTGATTGAGTATTCGAGTGACAATTACTATCAAGGCAACAAATGAAGAGGATGGTTCGGCCGACGTATAACAAATTCATATATGGAGCTTGATGAGTGGATGTACAGATACTCCGCTAATTCCATAAACCTTGACCTCATCACCCAGCTGACACCTTACATGCTGCCAGGGCAGACACTCGAATTCGAAGATATAACAGACGAGCGGCAGTGCATGATCCTGCTACTGGCCTCTATCAAGAAGTACACACTGCTTCATAGTGAACTCTTGGGTCAGTATAGTGGTACCATCATTCCCCAGCCTTCCAAGCTCGCTCTGGAACGGATACGTCGGCCGTTCCAACAGTTTCTGGAGGAACACGCTCTGCACCTATTAGTTCCCTTGTTCACTGCACTACAAGCGAACAACTACTATGGCGAGCTCTCACATATCCCAACACTTTATGGGTTATGGTGGAATACACCTGCCCTACTGGAAGACGTAATTATGAGCTTTCAGCCAGGTGGCCGGGATGTGACCAGTGTTCTCAAACACGGCTTTCAGAACTTGTTCGAGCAAATCGCAGAACATCACAACCTACGTAGCAAGATCCGGTTCGATTACAACATTGCTAAGATCGAGCGTGAAAGCGAACATGGTGATTCTGATACAAACCTGTGAAAATCGTGACAGATGATAACGTGGTAGAAGAGTTCGATTTCCTCATTGTCGCTGTACCTCAGCGCGACATAGTAGAACAGGGCATCCTGGACGCGAATGAGCTGGAATTTCGAGCCTTTGCTGACCAAACTAGAGGCTACCTTCTGACCAGTGTGGCTCAGTTTGATGCAACTCAGTTCCCGCATGAGGTCTATCAGGAGGTGGACGAACTGAACGGAAATCCAGAGAAAAGAGTTTAGCAGTTCCGTAATTCCAAGTTATCTTTAAATTATCGCGCAAATGCCAGCCACCCGAGGGTGGTGACTTACCAATACACTGACATCGACACGGGTCGTAATGATGAGGATGAGTATCTGGCAGCACTCCAGAGAGATATGGAAAGTAATAGATATATACTTGTTGAGGTTGTGAAACAAGTCGGTAATACCTACTTCCCTAGATTTGGCTTGGACCAGATCTCAGACCAGAAGCTACCTTGGCTGATCCAGGAGTTTAACCTGGAAAATGATCTGCACACGTGGCATATTGGATCGTCTGTATGTTTCGAGTCTGTATTGGATACAACAAATTACAATATCTGGCTGTTTGAGAGTGCCGGGGGAGAAGCTGTTTAACAGCGCTGTTAGGTTGAACTTAAACAGCTATAAGACCTGCTACTTTCATATTCAATAAGAGGGAACCCCTCAGTAAATATGTATCGTAGCCAATACGATTCGCACGTATAGAGCAGTCGTTGATGAAAACTGATACTTTTCTTTATTCTCGATGTCATCCTCGCAACAGCAGGAGCAATATAGCTAGCTGCATTATTCTTCGTCGATATATATGTATTTAGGTGTGTTTTTCTTGAGTGAGAACTGAGAGCAGTTACCTTTTTTACGTTAAATCGTATAGTTTGCGTTAAACGTTTACTATAACATTTTCCTTATTTATGTGTTTTAAAATTTGGCGGGCTATGCCTCATATCATGTTTTGGTCCTCTTTCTGTAAAATGAAAAAAATTCAAATGTAGATGCAGATATAAATATTTATGTGAAATATAAACAGTCGATGCTCAGTCTATTCATCATCCATTGACATTCACAGGTCACCCCGGACATGTATTCAGATACAGGTTGTTCACATACATGTTCAGCTTTCTGACGTACAAAGTGTATTGTACTATATTTCCTTCATCGTTCTTTTAGCACTGGCCCTTTTAATACGTGAAAAAGAATAAGATTATTTGCGACTGAGAACATCGACTTATACTGTCGTCCGCAGTTGTCGAACATGCCGAATACTGAGGACTTGGTAGCCGAGGAACTGGAGGTAACAAGTGTAGACGATCATATCATCCTATAGTGTGTTTTGTTGACATAATTGCATACTTGGAGGTGTGAGACGAAAACGTATATTTGTATTTAAATGTGTACATAGACATAACCATATACGTATACATATCTG